CAAAATATTAATGCTCATTCAAAACTTCTAGAGCTACACTTATTATTCCGCCAAGTATAGGTATAATAACCAAATTTAGTTATAACTAAATTTACCACATTGTAACACTATTTAGAGAAAATTTGATTCACAGATGAAACATAAACACTAAAGATGAAATATCTAGAATGATTCTACTCTTTCTTATATAAATACTTCAAACACATACACAAAGATAAGGTATTCTCCACATCATCCAATCTCCTCCTAGTGGATTGATGATTTGAAAAAATTACCTAATGAGCACACGGATCGCTTGCTCTCGACCAACACACAGATTGTTGACATGTCATTATAAATATTTTATTATCATCTACTCTACTCAATCTTGAGTAACATTTTTTTTTGTTCTAACTAATCAAAGACAGTTAGTGAAAAATGTTATTCAAACCATGTTAGAACATTTTTCCACCAAGATTCGAATGACTTTTTTCTACAAATCCAATGCTAATGGGTTGGCAAAGAGTATCAATTTCACACTTTGTATAATATTGACCAAGGATGCAAACATGGACGAAAGTCAACAAATTAAATAAAGAGGTTACACAATATTTTATTGAAGTATCGAACGATTTGAAGCACATCTACCCAATATTCGCCGTTTTGGATAGTGTATGGAGTTGAATCAAAACATTCCATATGGTTTTACTTGATTATTTTCATGACAATTTAGTAAAATTGAGGCCATCAAGTCTTGTTAGCAACAATTGATGAAGTTAGAGGTAGCTCAAACCATGACCATGGTACGAGAGGAGCGGACTCAACAGTTGAACAAAAAGTTTTACAACAAGTTAATCGGAACTTACAATTTGAAACCATTCAAGAAAGTTGAGTGAATGATGTTTTTTTATGCAATTAGATATAAGAGTATTAGATCAAAGTTTCTTTCCAACTATTTTGATACTTTCATAGTTGATAAGATATGGAAAAATTTCATTTATGATATCATAAAATTAGCATTTGCATTTTGATCGAGTCAACCGCAACAAGTTGTAACCATTTCATTGAATATCACATTCTTTCACTCGTATGACGTAATGAACTATTGGTCTGGGATTAATGTAAAACCGGTTGTTGTATGTGTGAAGTAGTAATTGAAGTAGTCAATGATCTGATCTGATTAGCTAGTTATAACTAAATTTAATTAATTGTAACTAAGTGTATCTAGTTTTGACAAAATTGAGCTATGATATTTACACTTGGCAAAATAATTAGGAGACTTCTAGAAGATTAAAATGATCATTTTTGTTTTGTCTCTTACAAAATTTTAGATTCCAAGAAAAAATACTTTGATAACATGATTATTTTTGATTGGTTTGATTAAATAAATAAAAATTCATTGATTAGACTTAGTAGTAAGTTGACTTACTGATAAGTGGCTATTCTATAATTTTGAAAGTCTCAAATGTCATGTCATCATCTCAATCTAGGGGCAAAAAAGCTTCTAAAAGATTTAAGTAGGTCAATGGAATGTTGCCACGTACTGGAAATTAGTCAAACATGCCTATTTTTATCTTTGTAAAAGTTAGTTAAGAGTTACTTATCATGTGTTATTATGGTAATTTCTCAAGTAGTTCATAAAGAGAGATAGAAAATACTTTGAAACAAGTTTTGAGAGTTCATTGTGTAGTAATTGTTTCATCAATATAAAATTACATTACACTATCTCTTTGAAGTATTGATGAGTGTTTTCAATTGAATGACGAGTGAAAAATTTTTGTGGGAGTATGTTTAAAACACAAGGTGAGACATTTCCCTTCTAGATTCATGATAAATCATATGAGTTGAACATGAGTTAGAGTGAGTCAAGAGGTTACGTTTCTTATATGAACAGTAGCATAGAAACCGACAAAAATGCCAAGAAGAACATGCACGCAGATTCGACAACAACCGTGCATGATTTGATTTTGGCTAAGTCCACAGAAACATATTGATTTATCGACAAAATTTGAAACAATGTTTTTGACAAGCAACTTCTTGGGCACTTAAGTAATACTAAGAAAAATTCCAAAGGCTGGATTATCCAAGTTATCAGCCAACTTACTTTATCAATAACAACACCGACACATAAGTAGTTGGTTTGTCTCACCCAGATTACGTACATGAAAGTCAAAAAGCTTTACAGGTTTTAGCTAAAAATGTTCAACGATAGCGTTGGCTAGCTCTATTTTATGATGAATAGAAAAATTCTAACACTAATTAAACTAGAATTAAAATAAAACTAAACTATGTATCAGCTGAGTTTATATCAACGCAAGTGATATTAAATGCTTTCTTACAAGATATCATATATTTTTGAAATGTTTGATGATAAAATTGGAAAATTATTTACAATCTCGGATAAAAATGCACTGTGATATTTTGACGTTGAAATTTTTTAAATCATTGATTCACTATGCATGATAACCATTGATGTAAGAAAATCTAGAATTTTAGCTATGCAATTCTGAAATTCAAATTAATAATGTTTGGATGAATAAACTGAATCTCAGTTGCAGATTTTTTTACCTCTAATATGCTACAATTTATATTGCAGTCTTATTTGACCTTGTTTGAGGTTTTTTATTAATTCTTCTCACACTTTAGCTTGTAAATTTGTGAAGGAATTTTTTTAGTATGCATTCATTGCAAAAACTTTATGCAATGAATATCATAATTTCAGTGTTTTCAATCATATCAGTTGCAATTTTTCCAAAAAACTGTCTTGTTTCATTTTCTTTCAAGATTTTATTTTATTTTATTTTTATTGATTTAGGTTTATTATCGTTCACAATATTGATCATGAATTTGCATTCATGATCAGTTAATTCACTTAACTAAATTTATACATTACAAGTAACCTAGTGTCAAACTAAACATGATGTTTTTGATGCAAGTGATTAAATAAATGTGTGTGTTACACAAGTTGTAGTTGTAACGTTCATTTATGAACATATTATTTAAATGTTTAATTGTTATATAAGCTAAATTCCATTTTTGGAAAATAAGAAAATCTTTATAAATTTCATAGTTAATTCTTAAAGAATTACTTTTGTTTTGATAAAAAAAAACTAATTTAAATTCATAAATTATGATGTAATGATTCAGTTAACATTTTATTGTTGGAAAAGAAGATCATAAATATTTTCTAATAAAAAATGCCCATTTTTGTGAAATAAATTCAATCAACACATGAAATTGATTCAAGTGGGCAACAAACCTCATCTATTGATCCAAAAATGAAAGTATATTAACTTAATATTGATATATAAATTGACCAATGGGATCATACGTAATTTTCTAAAATAGAAGAAAATCAAATTTTCAAGTTTGATAAATTCAAGTGTAAGTACACTTGAATAGCACACATGGATAGCACTTCTTTTATTATTAGAATTTATACTACAATGTTCTTGATTTTCTCACCCATGACACAAGATTAATAATTTCCATGTCGTATTGTCCTGTACAAAATCAAATTTATCAGTTGTGAAACAATTTTCAAATCTTTTCACAGTATTAATTATCCATCTCTGGTCAAAAGATTAAAGCCAACAAGTGTTTTTACTAATAATATTCTAGTGCAAAGAATAAACGAACATTTGAAGTTTCGATCAATTCCCGAACTTCACTGTTTTGTTCATACCTTAAATAAAAAATTAAGAGTTGATTCATTTAAAGATTTTGTAAAGTACTTTGTTTGAATATTAAAAATTTTGATGAAACAAAATAATAAATAAAGAATGTTTTCGTTGTTTTATATTTTGAAGAAGTATACAATGTGGAATTATGAATGATGGGATGAACCATCAAGCCGAACAAGGAAAAAAATATCAAACAGGATATTAGGGTTTACCTCCTATCAATGGTAGCGTCTATTCTGCTCTAGTTAATGAACAAAAAATCTGCAATTATAAAACAACGCTTTGGAAATTATTTTGAGATTGAGTTTTCAATCTTAACTTTCGTATTCAAAACTTGAAATCATGATCATAATTTTTTTTGAACGATTGTATCTATGAAATACGTGCATGATAATTCAATATTATTATAATGTCAAGAGATAATGATCTCCAATAACGTCAAATTGGGTTAGCTCAATGAATCAAGACATATGAAATAACAGCGAACACAATACATGATATAACCAAGAGAATCTAGTGTAGAACACGGTTTTACAATCTTGACTGAGATCAAACCTATCATATTTTCGTGTGTGTGTGTTACTTATACAAACGTGCTTATATCACTTATCATTCTATTGGGATTTTCAAGTACTAGTGCTTGGAAATAGCACGGAATGCTCATCCATCGTTCATTGAAAGCCTCTTGGAGACAGAAGAGGAGGTGAAGGTGTAGCCTGGCGAAATATGTCTAATCTAGTATAAATTAAGTTAAGGTTTATCGTCGTATGTTTGGATAGGAACACGTCCGTCAATTAACGACCAATGCGGCCATAGACCCCTGTATACCATGGGCTCTCGTGGCTTTATTACAATATTCCGCACTAGCTATTTTCACCGTACTTGGATTGGGAACTGATGCTTCCTAGCAGAGACCAACATTTTATTTCAAATCTGTACCCAGACTGTACCGCGACCAATGTCCACCCATAGCATTGCCCACCCATGCTCTTCAAATTACGACAATTGTGTTATGTGTAATTCCCGATTACATTATTTCTTGGTTAAGTCTGATAAACACTGCCATTGCATTACTTGTGCCACCCATGGAAAAATAATGTCACCCAAAACCCATGGGCATGGGCACACAATGTTTGGGCTCTGGTTATTGGGAAGTGGAAGATAATGAGGAGTGTTAACCTAAACTATTTTTTGGAGTGCTGGTTTTCTAGTACTGCAGACATCAGTACATGCATGTATCCTGGGCTAACCGATGGGACTCACGAAGTCCGTGGGAATATTGAACCCTCAAGTCCACTTGACTGGAGTAGGTTGACGCTGGGTTTCAGTTAACCTGTGCAAGGGTCTCTCACGAAGGCCCCTGGACTGGAAGAGTGTTACAGCTTCTGCTGCAGGCTCACAACTGTTCGAAATCCTTCACTCACGATTGTCGATTTTGGTTCGATTCGGCAGCTCGAGGATACAATATTGAGGATTGCTTTTCGACGGATTTGGACATGGGGAGATCTGTTGCCCTTTCCCGCCTCTCGCTGCTGAATGTCCTGGGGCGGAGAAATGTGTATTTCTCGAGTTCCTTGATTCAATCCTGCCCAGGATCAAGCGAACCCTACTTGGAGCAGGCTTCTCATTTTTCTTCGGTAGCCTCCGATTCTTCTCCATCTCCATCTACCTCCGGGCCTGCTTCAATTGAGAAAACTGCTCTCGGATCGGCCGCTGCTGCAAGGAGGGAGTATGAGAAACAGACCGCCTTGTTGAGGAAGAAGTATGCGGCAGAGCTGGCGGAAAAGAAAAAGCGTGAACAGAAAGACGAGGAAATCGTTAGAGCTCGAATCTCCGAGCTTAAGGCCGACCGCCTCCAGCTGAAGAAAGAGAAAGCCGCAGCTCGTGCGATCGAAGTAGAGGAGGAGAACAGGATTTTGCAGGCTCACTTGGTACGCTCTCCTCACCACATTTTGCTCCCTTTGTTGAGCATTCCGTAATCTCAAGAGAATGTCCCCGTCGATCCTGTCGATGAATTGACAGTTCGCATACGGAGATTGGATCAAAAAATCTCTCACCGTGCTTCAGATATATTATCGAGTTCATTATTGGAACGATTCACATAACCATATTCGAATTTGTGCGTCATTGGAAGACGTAATTCACTGATATATCTATACGTTGCATATTATCATGCAACTGTTGTGGGACTTTGATGACGTTTTATCATATATATTTCCTCGACTTTAAACTTCAACGCAGAAACTGATGATAATCTCAGATGCTCTGCACTCATAAATAACAGTATCCCTCTCCTGGCTCTTGTTTGTCTTTGTTATTCTCGTGAGAGCCAACTTTAACCTGGGTCTGCACCCTCACTTCAGACGAAACTGACTGAAACCTCTACTTGAGAAGTTGATTCATTGGCGTTGATTAAGTCATTTTATTCTTGGTAAAGGATCCTATTGTGGTATTAGCATCACTAAATCTCTACTCCACTTAGAGGAACAAGGATCGTTGTCAATCTTCGCGCAGATCCCAATTTTCTCTGGTAACACACAGGGCAATCCCAGCAATGGTTGCTCATAACGAATTACCACCTTCTGATCCGCACACTGAACCTGCTTTTGTAAGGGTAATCTTTTCTGTATTCTGCACTTTATTTTCGTAACAACGCATTTGTTGATGATGTTTTTTAATGCTTCTTATGATGTACATCAGAAACACCGGTCTAATATAAATTTGGATCTAATTGAGGCGTTACTTTTGCGCCGGCTGAGTTGCTGAATTCATCCATAATCATTAATCGCAGACTAGTACTCATGATGGGTGCCGTCGATTAGTACAGAAACTCGTTACGGGGAGTACTGGACTCTGGCCCAGTTACTTCGACACCATGATAGGAACATGTGAAGTCGTGGTGTGTTTCATGTTTGGCATTCTATATGTGCTGAGTTTAAAATGTTCTGGTACTTCGTCCATTGAAGATGCACGGTGATTGATTCGTGGACAATATTTACTTTCCGAGTTTATACGAGCAAATTTGTTCCTTTCCACAGGCTATCCGGTGGTTTCCTGCTAAGTTTGTGTTTATAGTTTTGTCTCAGCTCCCTTCAAAAGTCGATTTTAAACAATAATAATAAAACAAATTCTCGGGACTCTTTAAACTCTCTATGTGTCTTCTTTCTGGTGTCTGATAAGGCAGGTTAGGTGTTTTGAAGGTTTAACTATCCCCAGGTTTCCTGCATTCAAATCATAGATAATACTCCTCTTCTGCGATTAAACAGTCCTACACTTCAGACGTGAGTACGTCAATACACTTCTATGCCTTCGATGGAGCACCTATGGTTTTACCTCCTGGATATGTGCTCTTCGGTCTCATTGCCAGTTAGTTTCTTGCGTTTGAATACCTGTTAATTCAACGATTAATATATTTCCTTCAATATTTAATCTAGGTGGCAGCCTTCTTAGTTCAATAAATCCATAACGTTATTAAGTTAGGAATAAGGTCAGTGGAAAACAATGGTGTATTGGGTCTCACCCATTTGTAGTAGTTAACAGTTCCTGGACTTCGGATAAGTCATCTACAAAGAAGTTCAAACCCGACTTGTCATGTTGGAATAAGACTTCAGAATAATGTTAAAGGCCTCCAAAGGCTAACTTTTTCAGTCTTTGGAGGTCGTGTTTTAAATGATCATCTTTTGCCCTTCTGCTCCAATTTCTGCTCATTACCTCTACTAACAGCTTGTTCGTAATCAGAGAATGTGGAGCAATTTGATGACTTAGTTTAACCTTGTGGAAGGAACTCCATCAATCGACGAACAAGTTTAGAGACTTTATTCACAAAAATGAAAGAAAGCTGTAAACATTGTTCGAATCGGTGTCGACTTATTACTGTAACAATGACAAATGAAGGAGACTAGTGTTCGTTTTTTAACCCGACCCGATCAAGTGTTGCCCAGTATTGTAAATCATGGCTTCCTGTTTTGCATGTGTCTTTTTGACATTAGTCATCTGTTTGTTACAGCTCAAACCAATTTTGGTTTGGCTGATGAACAAAAGTATGAGCGACTGGTCTAGAGTGATAGAGAAATTCGTTTGGAGTACCCCTTTACTACCCAGCTTCTTGAGTATAGCGATGGGCGTGTATGAAGCCATGTTATCTGTGTAGCGGAGGGTTCTTTGCTGTGTTTAGGCCTTTCCACTAAATGTTCGTAGACTGGTACATTGTGAATGCTTACGAGGAAAAAATATAACTGTCAACGTCGTCTGGATCTCCTGCCTTACACCTGAGACTAACAAGCTTTACGTTCTTACGCTTTGTGCAATGCCTTGCTCTATGGAGCTTTGCTCTTTGCTTGAGCTTTTTAAGCACAGCCTCTGGAGCACGTTTCAGTTAACTTTTTCTCGAGGAAAGTTGGCATTCCCAAGGATGACTGGATGTGATGTGTACTGGCTGAAATTGCTATCTGGGTAGCAATTTTCTGCAGGCCTTTTTAAAACATCTGGTCGATACTACTCAAAGGACTAACGTTGGTCACAAGTCTTGTTGGTATTTCTACATCAGTATGACCCGTATACCTGCAGTTCTTGTACATTTTTACTTAAACCTAATTTGTGGTAATTACTTCACCTTGGAAACTATACCTTACGTTCAGTAACCCTTACAACCTAATATAGACAGCGATCGGCATTTGATATCAAATCTCCTGAATGAAGAAAATGAATTCATTTATGAGTTACATATTTTTACTAAATTGGCGACTAATATTTAGTAACTCAAAGTACTAATAACTGCCCAGAACTTTATCAACTCATATCAAAACTTGTTCATACTAGTGTGTTTTGACAAAATTTCCCTTGCTCTCTGTAGGAGTTGTTTCTTTTTAGGTCACTGGTTTAAGACAACTGAAGAAAACCTTCTTCCGAGTTTCTCCAATACCGTTGATATCTGTCTATATTCTTGCGAACCGCTGTATTTTGACAACCTTAGTTTGGGAATATCATGCGCAGCAGCTTGCTGTGCATAATGCGGACTTCTTACTTGGTGTACTGGTTGTAATAGCTTGGAATTGAAATTGGATTAGCCGTCTATTTCAAGAACCTATTCACATTCTAAGATTTGTTTAGCAATGATAGGAACTAATTTCAATGATTATTTTGGACGAACTACATTTGTACTGCCTTTTTATCTCACTAGTACGTTTGGCAATGAGCAGAAAGAGCAGAGAGCAACAAACGTCACTGCGAGAAATAAACTGGAAGCAAGGCAGGGTCTAATTCGACATAAACGAATGGTGGCCATAAGACGCCAGAGTTCCATGTGGATTGAGGAGAAGGACTTGGAGAGGAGAATTTTAGAGGCCATGTCCAATCCATTTCATCTGCGGGGGTATCTGCAGGGCGCAGAACGACTAGATAGAGATGAATCCTATTATGAAACTGAAGATGTTTGAGTTGAAAAGTGTTCGATCTCGAGTCCACGAGCAACTCTCCACTTCTTTCCACTTCTTTCCACTTTTCCTGATAGGTTTGAACTGTTTATGTTCTTCCCTGACGGAAGAGCTAATGGGTTAGTGATTAGTCGTAAGCTTGTAGTCTGATACCAGCTGATGTTAAATTTTCCGCTTCAGAGCAGAAGAGTCTGTACTAGAGACCGTAACGATGCAGTTCCTAAATTCATATATTCTTCACCGCCATCGTATTATGGGGGTTAGTTCAGTTGTACCTTATCATTCCTACCTGAGGGTGTTGCAGATGTTTGAAGTTGACAAGAAACAACACAAGTCATCTGAGCATCCACAGATCAGTTCGAAGGAAGACGACATCAGAAGTAGGCAGATTTGCGTGCATGATGATATTTGAAGCACCTCAATCCGTCAGGGTAAGGATATTGGAGGCGAGGTGATCATTCGAACCTCAAGTTTATTTATGGATCAGATGTGTAGAGATATGGCCAGGAAACTGTCGAGTCACTGATTGGTCATACAACAAGAGAGATGGGAGTATACTTTTTCCTGGTTACCAACGATGTAACTTTATCAATAGGGATGTTCAGGACGACGTCTTCTCAAGGCCGACGACTCCTTTGTCCAAGAATGATCCAAAAAATTAGAGTTTTTTTCTGTCTCCAGGATAATAGCTTATAAGAGGAAACCATGAGATATTAGTGTGAAGAGGGCAGTGAGTCTTGTAAGTACAGGTCTTAAGGCATGTGGGACTTTGAACAAGATTAAGATTCATGGGTGCCATATCGCAGCGTTTTACACAATTTTGTCCAAATCTCTCTGCTGTTAGCTTGTCCTTAAACTCCGTAATAGGTGCAACTGGAGTGGAGAAGACGGCGAGAATGTGAATGCTATCACTAGTCAAGTTTATGACTTGCAGATATAATACAGTAAGGTTTCTGGAGGAAACCAGAAAACAACTTCCTCGTTCGTGTCCCTTCGTGAATAGGGATGAAAAAATGCACATATATGCTACTGATGGAACTCCTACTTCTCTCTCGAGTCATGTAAGATCCCTGTGCTTCCGAAACCTTTTCTTACTAAAATCAGTTCGAGTTCTACGCTGTAAAAATGTTCATAGCACGAACAGAGGTAACGCATGGTGAATTCAGGTGTAAGTTGGCATATTGGTTATGGACAAACTGCTGGACTTGAATGTGATCGACAGTGTTTGACCTGGTCTATGAGAGGAATGAATAGTGCTCAGATCAGCGTATTATTGTCCAACAGAGGCTAATTTCAACGGACATCGATTTGAGTTTCTGGAGTACCAATCATCTACGTTGACACACGGTAATGCAAAGCCCCGTTCCACATATGCGAAGGTCTCAGAGGATTATTGGCATTGGCTACTGATTGAAGACAATATATTTGTCAATCTGGTACATGGCTGTTCATGACTGGGGTTGTAGCTGGCAGTAGAAAGGGATAGTCAAACGCAGAAGCCGTAAACACGATTGTATTTTGTGGATGGACTTTCGGTGGCACATGGATCGCTGGTGGTGGGTGGAGATTAGCCATCTACTTGATCATCTCTTCAATTTCACATGCTACTCGGGTTCGAAAATCCCACTCGGCTAAATTTAATAGTCTCATCAAAAAATAATTTCATCTACTTAAAGGTTATTGCTATATATGCATGTGTTACTTCAGTAGATTTTCTAACATTAAAGGAAATGAAACAGCATGATTAGGAAAACAGAATGAAATAGGGTCAGTTCGTGGAAACATTAGTTCATTCTTTGATTACGACCAGACTGTACGGTAACACATCAGGAATATAAACATTCTACCGAGTTTCTTTTCTAGACTGTGACTTGCATTCATGTGCGTAGACTTGATGTGTTGCAAGGTTACGAGTTGTTTTCACTTCAAAAATTTCCACTTTCTTTCAATATCTTTATTTCGGTAGATAGAGATATGTGATAAGTATAACACGTAAGAGATAACGAATAACAAAGGTATCAAATCTACAATGTATGAAAGAAAGACACTAAATTCATTCAAAGACATTTACAAATCAAAATAAATATAGAAACAAAATTTTGTCTTTAAAGCATCAGTCGCAAATGAAACGTTCTTTAATGTTAATCAAGACACGTAGTAAAATTGTAATTTTGATTACAATTTTTCATGATCGTTAATTAAATTATGATAACAATGAGCGAGAGATTTCTAACCCAAAAAACAGAGTAATACAGAATTAGTGATGGTCAAATATGTAACACATTCACATTTTGATGATGAAAATTAACAATCTTGATTTCTGAATTCATTTGTGTATTTTAGATGATTAATTGAATAAATTTTACTATTTTTCTTATTTTCATTATAAAAAATAAGAAAATATTAATCTTTAATGCACAAAAATTGAATGAAATTTTTGATTTTGAATAGCAAATTATAGATTTTAATTTATATTATTTATATTTCTATATCATATTTCTAAATTATTGTTAAAAACTATGAAATTATGTATCATTTTTTTAATTCAGTGATATCATATGTATGCGCAGATTATGTTTAAATCCAAACATAAATTCATAAAGAATGTAATTAATTTTCAAAACTAATTATATTTTTGTAAAAAAATAATGATATATTTTATGTGAAATTTTTTTCAAAACAAAATTATTTGAAAATATTAAAAAAATAATATATGCATATATATATATATATATATATAATATGATATGTCATGACGTCTCTATCACTTGTGAATTATCATCATGATATGTCATGACGATAATTTACAAATAATAATAAATGTAACAACACAACAAGTCAAGAAAGCAAAATGTACGCGAAGTGTAACGTGGTTCACCCTCCGTAGGATTACGTCCACGACGGAAAGCTATAAATCTTATATTAATACATAAAACTTTGTATATCCAAACATCAACTATACTTCTAATTATCTTTAGCTAGAAATTGAGTATGATTGTTGAGTTAATTTCAAGAATCTCCCTCTTAACTCACGTTACGTAAATAGTATACTTTGTAATCTCTATTGTTACTCCAAGGAAAAATCTGAATAGAATTTTAACACAAGTTCTCTTTTGTCAAGCAAAGTTAACTAGAACTAAACCGTAGCCATAAGAATATAGAGTAATAATATAAAGATATTTTTAAAAAAACCTGCTAGCATAGAGTAAACAAAAACCTTTGTAACTTATATAATTATTCTGTGAGAAGTTCTAAATCTGATATAAGACAACTCTTTACAACAACAAGAGTTAACTAAAATTAGCCATCATAAAATAGAATAATTATATATAAAAAATAACTACAGATATCATGTTAGCATACTCTATCTGTGCTGCTATGCAAGTTTGCACATTAGCTAGATTCGGTTTACCATCTATATTGATCTTTGTTGATGATTATAAATCTCTCTTACAACCATATCAGTGAGTGGAGATTTTTCCTTGTCTTGAAAGCTTGAGACCTTTTTCCCTCTTTCAATGATATGGACTCATTGAAACATCCATACTTACAAGAATCTTACATGCTACTAAATCTCATAGTTTGTAATCCCTTTTGCATCATAGGTCATTATCTAGAATATCGTTCTCCTTGGGGTCAAAGTCCTCTGCATCATTCATTAATGGAGAAGGAATATAGTCTTTGACATTTACACAGACGTTTTTCTTGATGTGACCACTCTTGCCACAACTCTAACAAGTCATTTTCTTCCTTTCATCCTTAGATTGAGATCTTTTCATCTCAAGGTTCATGTAGCTTACTCTCATCGTTTGATATCCAACATTGTATCAATCAAGGTTTGCAATGTTCGCCAGTGGAGTGGAAACTGCGCCTTTGACCTTTACACAACAATGTTTCTTGATGTGGTCACTCTTGCCACATTTCCAACAAGCTATCTGTCTTTCTCTCAAGGAGACTACAACTAAACTGAGATTTTTTTTCTTGCATGGATCGTAATCCTCGATCTCATCAACTTGGATTCAACAAATCTTAACTACCTGTTTGCGCGATCTTTCAAACTCTCGTTCGATTGTCACCTCGGCTGCACTGCTTAAAAAAAACTGAGGTTTGGCTCTTTGCAGTGTCTTCATTAGTGTGAACTGCCGTGGTCCTCAACGTCTTGCTCTCAAGTCTGAAAACTGACAATTTCCTTATTCTTTTAGTTCATGACTCCAAGAGATTGAATGCTTTCTCTTTTCTTCTCTTCTCTTCTTCATACTCTTTCTCTAAAGTTCATCGAATTTTATGACTGTCACCTTGTGACAAAGTCTCTCAACAATCTGCAAAAACAGTCACATTGTCTTTGAACCAAAGTTGAATACTCACATAGATGTCAGATTTCTCAGTACACAAAAACACAAACTCAAATCACATACATTTTAGCAATCTTCCGAACAAAAGAACATTGCCACAAAAAAACATGCATCATTTGCTCTGATACCAATTCATGACGATTATTCACAAGTGATAGTAAAAATAGTAACACAACACAACAAGTCATGAAAATAAGATGGATGCAAGATGTAACGTGATTCATCCTTCGGAGGGTTACGCCCAAGACAAAAATCTCACTCGTGTGAAAGTGTATCGAATATCTTGTAGTAATGCACAAACTCTGGGGTTAAATACGCTAGCATTGACATCCCTCCTAGGTAGCTTTAGCTAGGAATTGAAGGTAACACAAGGTTATTTCTTAATTGGAGTTAACTTCAACAATATGTATTAGCATACATATTATGTATTTTTATTTATTTTAACTATGGTTTGTTGGATTAGTTATAAATATTGTATAAAACCTCTATAATATATCATATTTTGGTTTTGGCTTGATTCTAGTTTAAAGAAATATCTATGTTAGATTTCATTTTGGAATTTTGCTTAGGATAATTATATAAGTTATGGAGAATAATATCTCAGTGACACAAGTTGAAAGGAGATTATTAGTGATAACTCCAAGTCAAAGCATAACCTGGAAAACTTGGATTTTAGGATTTTCTACTTCCGATCATATTATGTGTACAAGTCAATATTGGCATCAAACATTTTTTCAGGCTATTCTAGTGAAGTTACATGATCATATTGATGTATCCAAACGCAAAGCACAAACTATCAACATTAAAGTTGTGTTCATGTTTGTGTATGAAGAATTTTTTCTTGTTTTTATGTGATTTTTTCCTATCACTAGTTTCATATGTTTCATTAAGCATACATTCACTTTATAGTACAAAATCAATCAAATCATACTCCTCATTATCAAAATTTTGATTCATAGTAGCTAAACAATGATAAAACATTTTGATTTTCACACAAAATTCCTATCAAAATGAACATTTTTGTGACATCCGCAATAACTTTCATCTTGATTTTACATTCAAATTTATATTTTATGTTAAATCTTAAGATCTTATCACATTTATTTATCTAGAAAAATCTTAATTTACAAATCACACATAAAATTTTACCACAAGTTAATTTTTTTTGCAATTTTTAGATTACGTAAGTTTATTCTTATATATAAGAGATTTTTTAATTAATATTATACTAATTAAAAAAATCTCTTATATATATGATTTTGAAAAAAATTGAAAAAATATATCAAAGTTTTAAATAGAAATATATACATATATATAATTTTTAAAATATGAAATTATCACATCTTTTTAAAAAAACTTATGAAAATTATAAGATTTTTTATGTACATCCAATTGATGTAGATGATCACCAGAGTTTGTTCAAGAAAAAATTATATGTTATAACTAATACATAAACATTGTTGAAGTTTTAAATTATACCCAGTTTCATAGGAAAACAAGATTGATAAATTTGAAAATTTAAAATTTAAAATTATGTCATATGAAATATCATTTGAATATATTAGATTATTCAATCTAATTA